TTGGTTTTAGTTTCATGCTAAATTGACACAGAATTTGAAAGACGGAATGCAAGTCTTGTATTAATTCATGCGAAAACTGTGTCTTGACGACCATGTCGTCTACATAACATTCTATCTTCATGCCAATTAAGGGCTGAAACAACTTATTCACGAGCCTTTGGAAGGTCGCTCCAGCATTTTTCAGTCTGAAGGGCATAACCTTGTAGCAGTACAGGCCGAACTCGGTTATGAAGGTGGTTTTTTCCTCGTCGGATAGGTCCATCCTGATTTGGTTGTAGCCCGAGTAGGCATCCAGGAAGCTTAGCAACTCGTGTCCCGAGGTCGCGTCCACTAGGCGGTCGAACCTGGGGAGAGGGAAGCAATCATTCGGGCAAGCTCGGTTCAGGTCGGTGTAGTCGACGCACATGCGCCACTTCCCTTATGAAGTCTGCTGCAAGGAGCTTCTCGACCTCCTCATCGACCTCCCTCTAGCGTTCTGGGGCTAAGTTGCGTTTCTTCTGTCTAATGGGTCTGACTACAGGGTCAGTATTGAGCTTGTGAGTCATGAGCATAGGTTCTATGTCGGGCATTTCTGCCGCGGACCAAGCGAAAACATCTAAGTTACTGAGTAAGAAGAGTACCAATTCGGATCGCAGGGGTTCTTCCAGGGATGCTTCGACCTGAAGTAATCTGGCGGGGTCTTCTGCCGAGACAGAGATGGGAACAGTTTCCTCTATTGGTGCAGCTCGCTCATCGTTCTGTTCCGTAGGTCGCTCCGACTTACACAAGTACTATGACCTTTCCCAGAGGTCTGACCTCTTCTCCACAGAAGTCGACCAGCGGGGTGTTCGCGGGTTTCAAGTCACTCTCTCGGAACTGGAGCTTGTCGAAGGCCGTTTTAAAGAGGATGTCTGCCGAACTTCCGGAGTCAATGAGTACCCATCGGACTTCGAAGTCATTGATCTTCATCTTTATGACGAGTGCGTCGTCGTGGGGGTAGTGGACCCCGCGCGCGTCGTCTTCAGTGAAGAATATGGGGTCTTCTGTCCTAGGCCGCTTCGGGGGATTTCATTCTTCTCTGACGGCCTCCCGGGTTTACGCGCGAGCTGTTGTCGAGGTGCACCCTGCCACGATCGATCCTCCAACGATCACGTGGATTGTTCCCCGAACTGGTCTTTCCTCCGGGGGCTGCTTCTGTGGTTCTGCTAGCTGGCTGCTGGACTCGGGAGCATCTTTGTTGTGCTCTCCCTTCCGACCTGGCTTATTACTATTATTATTGTTATTGTGCTGTACAAAATTTCATAGATATCCGCGACGGATAAGTTCCTCTA